GGGGATCGAACGGCTCCGTGCGAGAAGTGGACGGAACCTCCGGCCAAAATTCCGAACCTTGCGACGACAAATATTCCTGCACGGCTCGAGCACCCTGGACCGAGGCCATCATCTTCAAAGAGACCCCGTCGCGAAGAAAATCCGGCCAATACGAATGGGGGTAACAAAGGAAGCGCAACAAGTCGGTCCCATGGCGCCGAATGATGCGGTATAGGCATCCGATAATGCCCACCAATGGCCCTATGGCCGCCTCGACTTCGGCATTCACTTCGGCCGACCCCCGCATGAAACGACGGTTCCAGTGCGCGAGGGCATGGTTCTCCCAGAAATCCTCGAGTTGTCCCTGAAGCTCCGCCCACAGCGGAAGTCGACGCCACGACGAATGGATAAACGACTCCTGTGCTTTGTACTTTTCCCACGGCTTAGATGACGCCACGGCCAGATAGGTCGCATCAACGTCTCGGGGTAGATTCGGGTCCGCGGATGGAAGGGGAACAGCAGCGTGAACGCGGGAGACTTTTCGTTTACCGGTACACCCTCCTGGGGCCGAGCGTTTCGCGGGACGCGAAGGGGATGGAGGTACGGGTGCCTTGGCTACCGCCGGTCCTGGGAGGGTCGAACCCTTAGCCCCCGAGCCCGGGGGGGCCTGGACAACGTCCGCCTCCAGGACTCCCGACGACGTCGTAGAAGATTCCTTCAACGCATCCCTCATGACCGGGAGGGCCGTATTCACCCAAGCACTGAACGTCGGGCCCCGGACTCGCCCAAGCAGGGGCTCCGTCAAACCGCGCGCGGCCTTGGCAGGAAAAATGCCTACGCTCTCGTTGCAGGACTTGAAGTGATCTGGATCACTCGAGGTCCACACCTCTATCAGCGGCGCCACACCGGCCGCCCCGGACACCTGCAAATGTTGCGCGACCGAATCCCAAAACGACGGGACGGCGTCCTGAAAGTGCTCGTTGGCATGTAACAAGGCTCGAGCCGACGTCCGCTCGCTCTCTTGGAACGCTTGAAGTTTCTCCTCGAGATCGTGGCTGGCCTGTTTCTCACGAAGTAACTTCTCCTCCAACTGGGCCAACTCTTCGCGGTGACGCTGGTCCTGGCTCGCATACCCTTGTACTCGGGACTCCAGGGCCCCCAACTTTCGTAATGCGTCTGCCTGGAAGGCCTCGATTTGGCTCCGGAGGATCTTGTTTGAAACGCGGAAGTCCTTGGCCCTCGCCTTCTGAGTCTTGGCCGCCTCCCAGAGGTCTTGGTTCTCAGCCAGTAGGATGTCCCAAGCCGGGTTGCTGGCAGAAAAACGGGGAGGTTGCGCTTCGAGTTGCGCGAGGCGGTCTTGAGCGACTCTGAGTTGCTCCTGGAGTTCTCCTGCCGTGGAAAGTGCCCGATCCCGATCCTGACGCGCCTTCTCCGAGTTTCCTCTCTCGTCTTCGAGGCTGCGGCGAAGGTCCGACATCTCGGCAACCACCAACGACTTGTTCTGAAGCGCCAGCTTGACAACCCCTTCCTTTCCGGCGACCAACCTGGCCGAATGCGCCGTGTAGTTCCGGGCGTCATTCACCTCGGCTGTCATAACTTCCAAGGCCTGGTCCGCCTGCTGAAATCGACGCCCCAGCTCGGTGGCCTTTTTCGTTTGGGTCGTCAACTGACTCGTCAGGTCCCGGAGTTCTGCTTGCTGGTCGTTCAGCCTGACCTGGGCTTGGTCACTCTGCTCCCGGAGGTTGTGTTGCCCTTGCTCCAAGGATCGGAGCGACTCTTGAGCCTCTTGTAGCAAGTCGTGGGTCCCATCCCGTTCTGCGTGTGCCGTATCCAAGGCCCGCGCCGACTCGAATCCAGGGCCGTCCGGAGGTCCAGGACTTCGGCGTTCACTTCAGACAACGTCGCTGTCAAGAATTCCACTTCGTCCCCCAGGGCGTGACGAGCTTGTGACATGTCGTGGGGACCGCTCCCCAGGGTCGATGCCATCGCTGCCCGAACTTCCTGGAGGACGCGTAACGATCGTTGGTTTCGCTGAATACTGTTGCGCAAGTCTACGATGCTATGGGAGAGCACGGTGTGCATACGCAAGAAGGAATATGGCGAGGCGTGGTCATCCGACACCTGAGTGGCCGCCTGCTCTGCGAGCGCCGCGTGGTCCCCGACGGAGGAGACTGTAGTGGCATCGTCGTCCTGCGCTCCGGAAGTGTCTGCGGGTCCCCTCGGCCGGGCCGTCGGTGGCGGTGTCATCCCCGCCGAACTGTGATCCATGTTCGCGGCCCCCGGGTCAGGTTGTGGAATGAAGCAACCTCGCTGCTTGCGCCTTTGCTGACTGCGGGATTCTGTCCGGGCTGCGGCGCTAACCGACCTTGCTCGCCCAACGACCATTCTCCCGGACCCTGTGTGCTGATTGGTCCTTGCCGGAGCTTCGGACTTAAGCGGGGGAGAATGTCACGGGGTGAAAGGAAGCGACTTTCCTTTCACCTTTCCCGCTAACCGTCGTATCTCCGGTTACCGGATCATCGTCCCACTGTAACTCTGGGACTAATCTGGTCGAACCCGTTACTCCCGGAACCAGCAATAGCCAGATCCCCGATCGTCCCACAATGTTCTGGTGACTCTTTGAACATCGGAACGACGCCTCCGTCTAGATAGCTAACCTTGACTTTTACTTTTGACTTACTCTACACGCTTGTGTTTTGTGTTCGCTCGCTCGCGCCGCGCCTACCTTCGTCAAATAGTTACAAACCCCGTGACACAGTGTGCTAGTTCACCTGACGTCATTGCACTTATGCAAACCAAACCCTATCGGTCAATAGTTGGCAGTATTATGTACTTAGCCATGGGCTCTCGCCCAGACTTGGCTTATGCCCTACAACAACTCTCGCAGTTTCTGCACAACCCGGGTCTTGCCCATTGGCGTGCTGCCAAACGCGTTCTACGCTACCTCCAAGGCACCTCCAAT